CGGAAGCGTGAAGGTCTGGCGGATGCCTCGTGCACGACAGTAGGCTCGCAGAAGGCCAGAGGAGAACTCTCCACCTCTGTCAGAGTGCAGACGCAGAACAGGAAAGTCCGAGCCGAAGCTCTGCCTGAGCTGGAGACGAGCTGCGCGGATCCAGTCGATCAACACCTCAGTGACATCACCCTTGCTGCGCAAGGGGAAGACTGTGGTGTAACGCGAGTAGTCGTCAACACCAGCAGGAAGTAGCGCTCGTGACCCTGTCCACGGACGCGGGCCGGGCCCCACACGTCCATGTGAAGCGTCTGCAGCGGGGCCTCTGTCGGAGGAAACTGGGAGGAGTGAGGGGCAGCCCGCTGCCGCCCCTCGACACAGGGGACGCAGGTAGGGCCAGGCCCCGGAGGAAGGGGAGGGAGGGACCGGGGAAGACCAGAGACAAGGACACGGGAGGCCATGCCTCGGAGACGAAGCAGGGAGGGGTGACCAAGGCGGTGGTGCCAGAGGAGAGTCTCGTGAGACAGGAGGCGACACGAACAGGGGGCAGACTCAGGACCAGACCTGGACGCTGCAGCAAACACCTGACCTGACGCAGCTACCTGACCAGACGCAGTGACTGGAGGAGACGCAGTGGTCAGGGTGTACAGGCTCGACCCCGGCCGACGGGTAAACGTGGCCACGTGTCGGCCAGTCCGAGCGTCCGTGCAGTGGGTCACCCGCTGACTCGCAGGAGTGAACTGGTGAACCCCCGCATCCTGTAGGTCAGCACCACTCACCAAGTTCGTAGAGAACGAGGGGAGGTAAAGACCAGACAGGGTGCCAGAGGGGGCCGCCGGACACGGGAGGACAGTGGAGAAGTGAGCAAGGACAGGACCCCCATAGGGGTCTGCCAGAGAGACCGCAACTGGCCGGCCAAGCGGCGTGAGTGTGGTGCGGTCTCGAAAGAAGGAGCGAGAAGCCCCCGAGTCAAGGGTGAAGGTGTGGGAGGCCGAAGCCGACGCAGAACCTGAGAGAGCAGACTCACCAGCACCTGAGGGAGCAGACGCACCTAGAGCAGCAGCCTCGCTAGCACCTAGAGCAGCAGCCTCACCAGTACCTAGAGCAGCAGTCTCAATGCCCGAGTCGGGCGGAAAACACCGGTAACAGTCACCCTCATCACTAATAGTCACAGTATACATAGCAGCAAGAATAGCATCAAAGTCAAGGTCAAAGACAGCGACACCCGCCCTAGACAGCTCACCCCAGCGGGGGATCTCAGTGGCCTCAGGGAACTGGTGACGCCAAGCGTCCGTCAGGCGGCCAAAGCAGCGCTGGGTGGAGTGCGCACCCCCGCACTGGTCACCCGCGCGGTCGCCGGTGCGGAGGACGTAGGTGCACGGACCAGTACCCCCACCCCGCTGGCGTGCAGCGTACCACTCACGGAGCTGCTGAGGGGGGGGGATGTCACGAGTGCGCTGCTGCTGCTGCTGCTGCTGCTGCTGCTGCTGCTGGCGCTGACCACCACCGGAGCCGACCCTCTGCACAGCGCCACCCCGACCAGCTCCACCTCCTCCGCCGCCGCCTCCTCCACCGCCGCTACCTCCGCTCCCACCGCCACCGCCGCCGCCGCCTCCGCCTCCACCGCCGCCACCGACACCTCCACCCCCACCACCACCCCCACCGCCACCCCCACCCCCTCCACTGCCTCCACCGCCGCCTCCACCGCCCCCGCTAGCTCCTCCAGTGCCCCTGCCCCCCTTGCCCTTGCCAGGGCGGCGTCTCCTGCTAGGGGTAGACGCCGCACCGACCGACTCAAGCCCAACGAGGTCGGCCGCAGCAGCAGAGGCAACAGAGGGCAAAAGGGGGGAGGGGGAACACCCCTCAAAGATGGGGGTGCGAGGGTCACCACGAGAGGCTCCTACAGCGACTATGCTCTTCTCTGCTGCTAGGAGGGACTTCTCGAGGAGGTCAACGGTGAGAGTGGTGGGGCAAACTGAGAGGAAGTGGTCCCTGACTACGCGAAGGGAGTCAGGGAGCCGGGTGACTATGTAGTAGAGGGTGATGTACATGGGGGGGGGGTTCTTGGCGCAGAACTCAGCAGGAAGCGCAGCGCGGTAGCGAGTGTCACTAGTGCGGAGGTGCGTAATGAGGTCGGCGACTGTGGGAAAGGCAGCAAGGTCAGGGAAGAGGTACGGTAGCATGAGGCGGCTCAGTGCAGCAGTGGCAGGGGAGGAGTAGCGCGCAACTACAGCGTCGTACAAGGTGTGAGCACTCTTGTACTGGCTAAAGTGCGCACGCTCAGAGGTAGGCAGGTGGCGACGCACAGCAAGACGTGTAGCAGCATCGCGCGTGGCCCACTGTGAGCGAACAGTGGCGTCAGCATCAGCAGCGGGGGCAGGGGAGGCACCAGAAGTGAGGTCAAAGAGGGAGAGGCCGTCTGCTCTGTCGCACTGTAAGAAAAGCTGCAGGTCATCTATCCAGACGTCAAAGTCAATGGCCCGACCCTCAGCGTCAAAAGCGAGGACACTAGGGGTAGCCATGACAGCAGTAGACTAGCAGCGCAAACAGTAGGGTGAGGGCAGTGCTGTGAAAGAGGCGCTGCTCTTACCGGACAAGGCGGCTCGGGTGGCTCGGCTGCAGGGCGGCTCGGCGGCTCGGCTGCTGGGCGGCTCGGCGGCTCGGCTGCTGGGCGGCTCGGCGGCTCGGCTTCTGGGCGGCTCGGCTGCTGGGCGGCTCGGCGGCTGGGCGGCTCGGCTGCTTGGCGGCGCGGCGGGGCCGCTGAGAGGGCGGCGTCCGGGGCCGCTGGGAGGAGGCGGCGAGGCCGCTGAGAGGAGGCGGCGGGGCCGCAGGTAGGTGGCGGGGCCGCTAGTAGGTGGCGGGGCCGCAGGTAGGTGGCGGGGCCGCTGGTAGGTGGCGGGGCCGCAGGTAGGTGGCGGGGCCAGCACAGGTAGGTGGCGGGGCCGCGGGTAGGTGGCGGGGCCGCTGGTAGGTGGCGGGGCCGCAGGTAGGTGGCGGGGCCGCTAGTAGGTGGCGGGGCTGCAGGTAGGTGGCGGGGCCGCACAGGTAGGTGGCGGGGCCGCACAGGTAGGTGGCGGGGCCGCGGAGGGCGGCGACGAGCCGTAGGGGGCCGTGAGGGGCCGCGGGAGGGGCCGTAAGGGGCGTAAGGGGCCGCGCGAGGGGCCGTAAGGGACGGCGCGAGGGGCCGTAAGGGGCGGCACGAGGGGCCGTAAGGGCGGCACGAAGGGCCGTAAGGGGCGGCGCGACGAGCCGTGAGGGGGCCGCTAAGGGCGACGCGACGGGGCCGTGAGGGGCCTAGCGAGGGCGCGACGGTAGGGGGAGCACACAGGGCGCGACTCGGGCCTGAGCGAAGCGCGCTCCGGGCAGGAAAAAAAAAATTCGTGGTGGTGGGCCCTAGGAATCGTTCCCACTAGGGAACCTGCTCGATACCATGAGAAGAAACGAGGAATGAGAATGACTAAGGGAAAGTTGGGTACAAATACAAACCCTAGAAAACTGTACCCCATATGTGCTACCCCACTATAGCCTACAGTAGCTCTGTCATATAAATCTGACATAAGGCTAAACCCACTATAGCCTAGACAACTGTAAACACATAAACTAAGCCTAGATATAACTAAGCATATATGTTTGACATGTATATGTATACGTACGTATGTGAGTCTGTATGTATATATATACGTATGTATGTGTGTATTTGCGTGTGCATGTTTGTGTAAATTTATACATTGCAATATCAATGTATGTCTGTGATTTTTAACAAAAAGACTCAGGCCTATCATTTCACAGACATGTGTGCGACCACTTCGAACTAGATTTGATAGGGTTGACATTTTTTTGTATACTTCACAGATTGTGTTGTTTTATGTGACAGTTGATTATTCAAAATCTTTGCTATTGACCCCCTTCCCCCTCCCATGCTAGGCAGGGGATGACGGTAGCTTAGTTTTTGGGTCGTTAACTGTTACGCATTTTATTATGTGCATGTATGTGCATCATGATTCATGGCATTATATTAAATATTATGCATCCTACATCATTATTTATGCATCATGCATCTATTTATCATTACCACAACATCATTTAATAGTATAACATATTACCGGTAATACATACAGTATAGCATATCTGCACAAAACCATTGACAAAGAAAGATCACATGGTTTAATATAATGTGAACAGTATTCAAAACTGCTCAACAATTTGGGAAGGGTACTGTAGTTTACGAAATTTATTTTCATATTATATAAAAAAAAATGAAAATAAATATGAAAATAAAATTTGGCAAAATCGATCGTAAAGGGTTGTTTCGCAACCCAAAAAGCGAAGTCAGCCACCCAGTATCTTGTATTCTGATCGTTCCACAAGCGTTTCCCAAACAAGATTTCCTCCGCTTCGTGCGCTTCGTCAAGTGTGGGAGGCAACCATCATCCACCAATTTCCACCGTCTCCCTGCTAGTGTTTGGAGGGTGAACAGCTGGCTTGGCGCGCGCTTGTGACCCGAATCTCCGCGAGACACATCCGTTCGATTTCTTCTCGAAACCCTACCCCAACGTAGAGATTTGTCAAAATTCCGCCCTGACACGTACAACATCGCATCCCACCGCAATAAAGTGAACTCATATGACGCCACAAGAATGGTTCGCGACCTGGCGCGGAGCACAGTGAAGCCCGACCAAACGAACCTCAGGCCCTCCACAAACTACTCGAGGGTGCGAGGACATAAGGCGCACGAACCAGACTCAACCTCTGTGTAAACTAAATGAACTGTTTCTAAACGCGATCCATCTTACATAAACGCGTTTTATACATCGGGTTGGTACAGGCCTCCATATCCCAAGTCAACGCGCGCCCCGAATACCAACGCGATTCGCCACTGGTGCTTTCAACATCACAAATGTCGACATTTCTTACAAAAGGGGGGGTATCCTTCTCCAGGTCATCTGTCCCAAACTCCTCCAGTTGGCTTATCACTCCACAATTTGCCTTGCTTCCCAACACACTCAATCATAATGGCAGCGGTAGTTTTCCACGCGTATCAGGCACAGGCGGCCGTGAGCCTTCTCATCCTCCTCACCATTCTTCCGTCGTCGCATGCGCAAAGCTCTTACCTCGTCGTCCGAGCGAAGCAGCTCAGAGCCGCATCTGACTCATACGCCGCGGATCTCAAGGCCGCGCAAGCCGTCGCTGCGCAGAAAGCGCAGGATGAAGCCGATGCTGCCGCCGCGATCGCCGCTATCGAGAATGACAATACCGCGGATAATCTCCGCTCCGCTCTGGACAGCATGAAAGACGCGATGGACGGTGCGAAGTACGATCTCGACGATGCGAACAGAATCTTGTCTTATCGCAAGCAGGCCTACATCCAAGCGCAGATCGATCCCACCAGCCACCCCGAGCTGCCCGCTGCCACGAAAGCCGTCAACGACGCGGCGCGCCGGGTGAAAATGACTGCAGCGCTTCTCGACGAATGGCGCAACGTCATCGCGGACGCGGCAGCGGCGATCAAGGATGCGCTGTCAGCATACGAAAAAGACCCGTCGCCAGTAAATAAGGTGGCTGTTGCGGAAGCGGAATCCGTTAAGTCGTCCGTGGAGGAGGTTCTCCCGGATATCGAGAGCCAGGCGGATCGCGCGAAGGCGAAACTTGTCAAGGCTCAGAATAACTACCAGAGGCTCGTCACCCTGGGCCCCCAAAGCGTCGACATTTTCAAGTCTGCCATGGACGACGCGACGAACGACGTCGCACTGGCGCAGAAGTCGTACGACGACGCGATGGCGATCTACAACGACGCTGTCGCAGCGCTGGACAATTTCATGACGAATCAGGTCAAGGCGCTGGCGGTGGCGAAGGCGAACCTCGCGGCGGTGAAGATAAACCGCGCGGTGGCGGATAAGCGCGTGGTGCAGCTGGCGGACCGCGCCAAGGCAGGCCTTGCGCGCGCCGTGGATGCGGAAAAGGCGGTGCAGGATGCGACGATCATGGCCAAGCCGTGATAAAATCATAGTTTCATTCTGGAATGCCAGCAGGTGGTGAGCTGGGCTACAGCGTCTTGAGAAAGAGCAGAACGTCTTTTCCTCGGATGCAAATAAAGCGGGAAATGTGTTGGGTGCCTTGCCCAATGCCGCTGCCCCTCTGTTGGCGTGGTGATCTTAGAAATTCGGCTGGTTTATTATATTTGTTAAGATCATTCATGGAGATCTGGAAAACTGCAACCTGTACCTTAACCTTTGGATGTGGTTCTTAGCAGCCTCTGCTCAACGTCAACCCTTGATTAGGCACACCCATCCACCATGGTAGAACTTTCCAACAGCATGGAGTGATCCCCCCCCCGGGCCAAATATCACAGATCTTTTTATTTTCAATCTAATATCAAACCATAGAAGCGCTGGCCAGGATAATGATGACTTTTCAATGCCCCATGTGCATGTATCAATGTAAGCAATGCTGTCTATAGATGAGGATGTATACAACCTTGGTAGTTGGGTAAACAACAGTACTGATATCCGCAAATTGTTTTACCTTACATGGTGATCTATATTCTATTTGGAAGGGGTGGGGTAATGGGGAAGGGGATGAAATACACTATACAGTGCATACATCTACAGTCGTACTTGTGTAACATGAATACACTTCATCCCCAACAAGACATTTTTAGAGAAAGCAACATGGTCGCGCGGGAAAGAAGCAGACCCTCCAGCATATTGGTGCTGTTCGCCAGCACCATCATATCCAAAAACCACGGGATAACGACGGGATCAGGAAGGTGGGTCTCGCCTTCCTGATCCCGTCAGTTAGAGTTCGTTAACCTCCGTCAGCTTGGTCAGCCCGTGAAAAAAGTGCCGAGCCTCACCTACCGTCCAAACCAACAAACAAAGTGGGCGTCTGGCGAACGCCCACTTTCTCCACCAAATCTAACAGTTCGACGGCATCTGGAAGCGGGGACGAAACTTCGTTCCCAGGCAAAATGCCATCCCCTAGCCATGCCATCGTCATGCCGCGTTTTTCAAAGCACAGCGGTGGCACAGCCGACGCATTGCTGTTCAGAGGGTAACCCTTGAACAAGCCTGTAGTTTAACAAAGGGGGGTTCGTATACCCCCCATTTTTCCCTCCCAAACACACCTTCGAAATGCCCCCCGAGCATAACTTGAGTTGTGTCTGGGCATGAGCACGTGGTAGCGGGGGTTGTGTTTGAGCGGGGTGTGTTTTATTTGCGTTTTTTACCCACGTTGAGCAATTTTTGGTCAGCGGGCAGCACAAGGGTCAGGGATGAGCAAATTTCGCGCCATTGGGGGGAAGGTGGGGATGGACCTTCCCGACGCGGTTGAGAAATTTCGCCTTTCGGGCGCGCGTAGTTTCTCGGGCGGCATTTCGCCCAAACCTCGGAGGAGGGTTCCGCCCCCGTTTCTATATGCGGTCGCGATGCTGATGCCATCGTTTCCTGTTGAAGAAACGATTTGCTGGCGAACAGCACCATTGTTCGATTCTGGAAAATCCCAGAAAATCCTCACCAACCACCCCGTCAGCTCACCAAGTCACGCCACCCCCAGTATGTACAGTAACTCGTTGACCCATCCGAGTCCTTGGATTTGCCATTGAGACTGGGAGAATGCGTGGCTGTCAGGCATGGTGTCATGGACAGTAGATGGACCCATGCACCATGATGGCTGGGTGGCTGGGTGGATGTGTGGTGAAATCGAATGGCTGGATAAATGTTTGAGTGGACTCAAAAACAAAATCGATGAAATGGACCCATGGTGGCTGGGTCCAGGTGGATGGATGTGTGGTGAAATAGAATGGCTGGATAAATTGATTCGCGGGGGTGGTTGGTTTGGTGTGGTGTTGTCGTCGCCACACCATGTCAACGACATGTTGGCGAGGCGCAAACACTGCTCTAAAAGCAAGGAAAAGTATTTCACACAGATCGCGAGGGAGCTGTCGCAGGCTTCAAAGCATTCTGCATATCTGACACCACACTGCATATCTGACACCACACTGCACCACACATATGTTCCCGCATGCTAGCTTGCTGCCTCAGGCCACACCCCGCCGCCATTTCACGCGCTTTCTCTAAGACCGTACTCTATGTCCGATGTACATGTCGACAGACATGCTCTTACACCCTCTTACAAGCTCCAGCATCATCAAGCAAGAGACGATAGATGGCACTAGTAGGCTCACATTCTCTTCTCCCTGTGTGTGTAACAAGGTTGGTATTTATCCTGGAATTCGCTCCCCTCAACCATTCGACGAGGAATGGGCGAGCTATTTGTGCGTTCTTGGGCCGTGTCACATTAGGGACCACGGCTCCTCCTGATGTTTTGGGAAGTGATCCCAGTCTCCGCTACGACCTGCATCAAGAAGCCAGACACCGAATTTCATTTCTCAGAGTTTTCCCTTGCGGCGTCTTATTGAATAAATCTCTCCGAAATTACGGAGTCGTCACCATTCAATCCACCGCTGTCGGCCGCCGCCTCTTCCTCCCTCCAACACCCCTGATTATTTTATTCCTATTTGTTGTTCTCGTTTGCGCCTTGTTTGGTTAGTAAATAGGACTCTAGAACGCGCGAGTTTCTTGGATACTCCTGTTACCTCCGAAAATTTGGATGAAACGCTAGCAGCGAACTCGACTCGAAAGTCACCCAATCGCCGAGCCGACTGGCCCGAGCGTAGATCTCGCATTAGGATCTCGGTTCGGAACGAACCAAGATGGCCGGTCTGGTTGTCGCGCTTGACCCACTCATTTCGGAGATTAGTTATTCTGTAGGTCAGGGTACAGAGCGATTGTTCCTCCCGGTCCGATCTCATCGGCACGCGCCGCGGCGCCGCGCCGCCACTGCCCCCCAGCTCGCCCTCTTCGCGTCGCTTCTCCTTTCCGCAGTCCCCGTGATGTGCGGCGTCAATCACGCTGATCACTTTCGGGTCGAGCGCGCGCCGAGTAGAGGGAATGGCGGCGGGCGGGCGGCTGCTCTCGCGTCGTCTACCGCGGCTCGACAAAGAGGAGCCGTTGCCAGCGAGTCGAGGCGGGAAACTCTCTCATTGGCTCCCCGGCTAGCGGCCACGTGGCGTACTCCCGTTGGCGTTCATCGACTCAGGTACGGAGTGCCTCCCCCCTGCCCTACTGCTAACCCCCGTTCCTCTCCACGTGCTCTTTCCTTGAAGCGATGAAGTCGTTCCTTTCACAGATCGCATCATCAGCACCGTCAGCGGCAGCGCCGTCAGCGGCAGCGCCGTCAGCGGCGTTGGATTGCTTCGCTTATCCCCGGAATCTACCGCTCTCCTTTCTCTTTCCCACCCAGACCAACCTCCTTTCCCTCCCCCCTCTTCCACCCACTCCCCTCCCCCCCACCACCCCCCACTCTTTCCCCCCTTCCCCTTCTCCGCAGGTATCACGAGAAGCGCCGCAGCTACAGCGCCGTCCGCACTGCACCCGGTAACCAGCCGCTCTCCCCGCCTTCACCCCCTTTTCCCGCCTCCCCCTCTCCCCCATTCCCCTTCTCCGCAGGTATCAGGGGAAGCGCGGCGGCAGTGCGATCCTGGCTGCAGTTGGTAACCAGCCGCCCTCCCCAGATCCCCCTCAACTTCCGCTCGGGCCCCCCAATTTCTCCCCCTTCCCTTTCTCCGCAGGTATCAGGGGAAGCGCGGCAGCAGTGCCGTCCTCACTGCAGCTGGTAACCAGCCGCCCTCCCCACCTCCCCCTCCCCTTCCTCCTCCTCCTCCTCTCTCCGCTCCTGCACCCAAGCAGTCTCTTTCTCTCTCCCCAGCAGCAGCAGCAGCAGCAGCAGCAGCAGCAGCAGCAGCAGCAGCAGCAGCAGCAGCAGCAGCAGCAACCCCAGCAGAAGCAGAAGCAGAAGCAGAAGCAGTAGGAGGGGGAGGAGAGTTAAGGGCAGCAATTGCGAAGTTAAACATGCGTTCTGGTCAAAGAGAAAGCAGTGGGAACTTCACATCAGGTGCAGCCGCAGCAGCGTCATCATCAGCAGCAGGCGCAGCAGCAGCAGCAGGGCCAGTAGCAGCAGCAGGCGCAGCAGCAGCAAGAGCAGCAGCAGCAGCGCCATCAGCAGCAGTAACTGCAGCGGAAGTCTCATCCCCTGGTGTCCCATCCAATAAAGTCACACTCAGTAATAGCTCTCTCAATAATGCCGCTCTCAATAAGCCGCTCTCCAAGGGGGGAATGAAGGCGGCGTGCCACAGGTGGCCGTGCAGCGTGCGCCCCAGCCTGTGCGGCGTGATGCATCGCCCCATCCGCGTCTACCTCATCTGGTTCGGGCCGTTCTCCGCCGCGCAGAAGAACATTCTCAGAAGCTTCATCCGGTCCATCTCGGACCGGAGGGATCCAGAAAACACAGGTGGGTGTGTGGAGGGGAAGGGAGGGGACGTGGAGAAGGGATGGTGGGGGTGTGAGTGCGTGGGCGTGTGTGTGCGTGTGTGGGGACGGGGAGGGGGGCCGAGGGGGATCCCGCAAGCAATCTTTCCTTCTCACTCCCCCCACCTCCCCTCGCACTCCCCTCTCAGTCCCCAGCTGGTGGGACATCAACCGTCAGTATCACGACTGCAGTGGCCGCCCGGTCTCTCCTCCGTGTCTCTCAAAGGCGAATCATCATACCCCTTCCTTGCTTCCCTCCCTACTCCCATCTATCCCCTACCTCGCCCACTCAGTCCCCAGCTGGTGGGACATCAACCGTCAGTATCACGACTGTAGTGGCCGCCCAGTTTCCTCCTCCGTGTCCCTCAAAGGCGAGTCCTCATACCCGTTCGGCCGCCGCTCTTCCCGCCGCTCGTCTTCTGGCCGCCCATCTTCCAGCCGCCCATCTTCCAGCCGCCCGGTTTCCCATCGTCCGGATGAGATTAGCAGTAGCAGTGGTGACAGGGGTGGCAACAGCAGTGGCACTACCAGCAGCAGTAACAACAGCAGCAACACAACCAGCAGCAGCAGCAGCAACACGACCAGCAGCAGCAGCACCAGCAGCAGCAGCAGCGGCGCTGACCCAATCAGCAACAGCTGCACCAGCAAACACAGCAGTGCCAACACAACCAGCAGCAGCAGCAGCAGCAGCAGCAGCAGCAGCAGCAGCAGCCGCAGCAGCAGCAGCAGCAGCAGCAGCAGCAGCAGCAGCAGCAGCAGCATCATCATCATCATCAGCAGCAGCAGCAGCAGCATCAGCAGAAGCATCAAGCGCGGCACGCAGGGGTTTCGGTGGATAGGCGAGAAAGGCCTTCTCCCGACGCTCTTTGGCTCCCTCGGATCAACGGCATCGGTGCATGCAGTCATCCGCGAGTCCATCTTGAGACGATACCTGCCCTTCGACACTGAAGGGGTTTATTTCGTGATCTCCTCTCCTAGAATGAAGAGGGTGAGTGGTGGTAGGGAGCGCGGGTGCTGGTAGTTTGCTCTTTGGGTCCCTGGGATCAACGGCATCGGTGCATGCAGTCATCCGCGAGTCCATCTTGCGGCACCAACTCCCGTTTGACACCAAGGGCGTTTACTTCGTGATTTCGTCTCCGAGGATGAAACGAGTGAGTGGGTTTGGAGTGAGTGGGTGTGGTAGGGAGTGGGGTCGACAGCATCGGTGCATGCAGTCATCCGCGAGTCCTCCCGTTTGACACCAAAGGAGTCTACTTTGTGATCTCCTCTCCACGCGTGAAACGAGTGAGTGAGTTTGGGGTGAGTGGGTGTGGTAGGGAGCGCGGGTGCTGGTAGTTCACTCTTTGGGTCCCTCGGGTCGGCAGACAGCATCGGTGCATGCAGTCATCCGCGCGTCCATCTTGAGACGCGAGATCCAGACCTAGCTCAGTGAGCTGCGAGTGCATCTTGAGACGGCACCTGCCCTTCGATACCAAGGGGGTCTACTTTGTCGTCTCCTCTCCCCGCATCGCATGGAACGAGTGAGTGGGCTTGAGTGTGGTGGGGCAGGGGTTGGGGCGACAAGGGATGTCTTTCCATAGCTGTGTGGGTGGCTTGGGTCGCTGGGGTCAACAGCATCGTGATGTAAGTGAGGTCTTGAGACGCTTCAAAAACTCACTTATATCACGTGGGCGAGAAGGGGTCTCTTTCCATCCATAGCTGTGTGGGTCGTAATTTGTTACGATTGAGTGAGCTTGGGGGAGTGAGGCTGGTGAAGGGGTTTTGCAGCTCCTTCTATGCCTGGCACTATTACGTTCCCATGAATTCCCCCCACCAATTCCTCCACCGCTCAAACTCTTCCCCTTTCCCCCCCTCCCCGTCCAACTCTCCGTTCCCCCTTCCCCACCCCTTCCCCCCCTCCCCGTTTCCGCTGACAGCAACTGAAGGGGTTTTGCAGCTCCTTCTGTAGCTGGCACTCATACATCGCCATAATTCTCCCCCACCCCCTTCCTCCAACGCTCAAACTCTTCCCCCTTCCTCTCTCCCCATCCCCCATCCTCCCCCCCCCCGTCCTTCCCCCCCCGTCCTCCCCCCCATCATTCCCCTGACAGAAGATGATGTTGAAAGGGTTTTGCACCGCCTTCTGTGGCTGGCACTCATACATCATTTTTGAGACGTCTCAAAAGGCTGGCACTCATACATCATCCTCTCATCCACTGTCAGAATCATACACACATTCCAACCCCGCACTCCGTGTTTCCACCTCTCCCCGCCATCATTCCCCTGACAGAAGATGATGCTGAAAGGATTCTGCACCACCTTCTGTGGCTGGCACTCATACATCAACATGATGGGCAAGAGGATCAAGACGAGCCTCGTGGGCAACCCTGCCGGAAGGGTAAGGCGTTGTTGAGTGCGGCTGAATGCGGTTGAATGTGGTTGAGTGAGGCGGAGCGGTTGTGGAATGACCGTGGTTTGATTGTACTTCTGTGGCTGGCACTCATACATCAACATGATGGGCAAGAGGATCAAGACGAGCCTCGTGGGCAACCCTGCCGGAAGGGGTAAGGCCTGATTCAGTGAGGTGGAACGTGGTTGAGTGAGGTTTACTGAGGCTGAGTGCGGTTGAGTGGTTTTCTCGAATTCCCCGCATTTGACCATGGTTCTGCAGCTCCTACTGTGGCTGGCACTCATTCATCGCCATGATGGGCAAGAGGCTCAAAACGAGCCTTGTCGGAAACCCTACCGGTAGGTTAAGGCGAGGTTCAGTGCGGTTGAATGTGGTTGAGTGTGGTTGAGTGAGGTTCACTGAGGCTGAGAGCGGTACAGTATGGTAATGTGGATTTTACTGGCACTGTTCTACGGTGCTTCTGTGGCTGACACTCATACATCCCCATGATGGGGAAGAGGATCAAGACAAGCCTCGTGGGCAACCCTGCCGGCAGGGTAAGGCGAGGTTGAGTGCGGCTGATTGCGGTTGAAAGTAGTTGAATGCAGTTGCATGCAGTTGAGTGCAAGGAAAAGGATTTACATGCACTCATCTCTACCCTCTTGTCTTCTTCCCCTTACCTTGTTCTTATATCCCTGACTTCCTATTCCCCCTTGCTTCTCCCTTGCTTCCCCCCTCCTCCCCTTCCCCAGTGTCTGCCTAACTGTGCATCATGGGAGCTAGCATCCAGCCTAGCGCCCCCCAACAGCGACAAGGGCATGGACGCACTGGTCTCCACCTTCGCCCACGAGCTTGCAGAGGCCACTAGCGCTGTGCTCTCCCTCAGCTCTCTCTTTCCACTCCCACCTACCTCTCCACCCATGCCAGTGCTTGCCCAATTGTGCATCGTGGGAATTAGCCAGCAGCCTGGCGGCCCCCAACAGGGATAAGGGCATGGACGCCTTCGTCTCCACCTTCGCCCACGAGCTCGCAGAGGCCACGAGCGACCCGTACCTGTCGACCTGGATGGACGAGAAGGGCAATGAGAACGCCGATATGTGCTCCTACAGGTGCGTGTGTGTGTGTGTGTGCTCTTGCAGAGGCCACATGAGGTTGGATGCGGTTCGTTGTGTGTTGTGTAATAAATATGGTATTATATTGGATATGGTAATGTATCGTATATGGTAATGTATCGGATGTGGTATTGGTTGTGTAGCAGCTCCCTACACAGATGATTAAGAGGAAGGGGGGGGGGGGGGGGGGAGGGGGGGGTGGAGGAGGGGAGGAGGGGAGATTGACACCAGTGGTGGTTCCCCCCTCATGATTCCATAACTTTCGTTCTGAACGCATGACACCTCCCGGTTCTCTCCTGTCTCCACCTTTCACCTCCCCTCTCTCCTTCCCACCCTCAACTCACCCTTACCCCTCTTCTCCCCTGATCTGCCCTGCACTGGCATTTTCATCCGATGTGGTGATTTATATTGTACAGCTATGGTGATATTGGCTGGACGTCTAATGGAGCCCCGTACAACATGGAGGGCGTTGGTGGATCCAGGTTTCTTGTTCAACAAAACTACCATCTTATTGATCAACAATGTGCCACATATGCCTAAGGAAATGTGCCATAACATGTTATGGATGGGCGCCATACGAGGGATGACCAATCTTTGAAACTTGTGTGATCCGTTCACAAGATTAGAACTAAGGGACATGTGGAGCAGGTGTATTTTTCGTGGGTGGGTCTTGCACATGTACATCAAATTACAGTAAACGAGCAATGCTTTGCAAAGAAGTGTAACTAATACATAACACGAACTAGCCCTTCGTGGAATAACATCATCAACACGGGCTTTCCCCACCTAAACAAATACAGGCTCAGTGCATCCCTGCCGTACAAGACCTCCATCATTCGGCTCAGAGCTGTTCCCAGTTGCTTCCGGGCAACGGCAGCAATAAAACCGGTAGACGACGGATGGGGGCTGCCAAAATGCAGCCCTTGCCTGTCGCGACATGCGAAAATTGCGGTGGTTGGCTGGGAATATCTCAGCGGAAACGGGTCGTCAAGCCTGACGACCTGTTGACGACTTGACGACATGCTGCCCCGGGCAGAAAAAAACTAAAACCCCATCGGATGGCATGCCATCCGAGGGAGGCATCAACCCTAAATCCAGGCCTCCCTGTGTTTAGGGTTGATGCCTCCCTGACCGGATGCATGCCCGAATGGGTTTTATTTTTTTTGCCCGCAGGCAGCGAGGTCCCCCGGGCGGACTCGCTTGTCCGCTGAGATATATTCGGAGGATGAGATCATCGGAAGTAGGAAAAGTGCTAACGGGCTGACCGTAAAGACACAAACACGCCTCAGACCAAGAATCTGAGATTGATCTGTTGGTGGGCAAGGGGACACGAAACACATGTTGACGCCATCCACGTGGTGTCCTTCGACACCGACCAATTTTAATGCTTTTGAAGTACCCACGCCAGGAAGTTCTCTGAACGCGCGCGATCAGTTGGCTCACTGCCAATTTCGCAAGAGAATCTGCTTCTATGTTCCCACTGGTCGTGTTGTGGGATCAATGCCTCTCAGGTAGGCTCCCGCCACTACTGCATTCTGAAGCACATCTGACGCAAAAATCCAGTTGGCCAGTTTGAATTTATGGGCTCGCTGTACAAACACTATACCCTCCTCATGTGATAAATGGCCCCACTTGTTCCGCGAGTTGTTATCGTGCTTGCCTGCCCGCTTACGAAAATCCCAAGGCTCTCCTCCTCGCTCTGTGTTCCGTTTGCCACCTCTCCTTTTGACAGACCCACCTTTCACATTCCACCAACTCCGTCAACCTGACTCGCACTCGCTCGCTCTCACCACTTCCCCCAGCCAGAACAGACTCCAGAAGATTCTTGGATCTACAGTTTGAGCCCTACTGCACTCTTTTCGACAACCTGTACAGTTTGTCCATGACTCCATGCGAGCGAATATTTCCTAGGGTTTCCATTCCCCAGCCAGCAGCAGGCAGAGTACTAGGCGCTCAGAAGAACAGATACTTTTAGCTCTTGTTCAAATCGCCTCGAAAGAGTCGTTATCTTTTCTGCTTTGCATTTATTATTTTCTCCTCTAAATCGCGTCTAATAGAGCCGCCATGGATGTGCAACTGACCGAAGGTTCATCGGGATTTCCGAGTAACGTTCCATCAGTAATGATGGCACGCGGAGCTGGTGTCGGCGGTAGCGGCGGGACTCCCGCCGAAAGTAGTCAGGCAAAGCTCGAGCCTATAGAAGGAGGAGAATTGCATGACGTGGATAATATAGGGATGGATGCTAATGCGAGCTATAGGAGAAATATGGGTATGATAGCCTTAGGTACGAGCCATTCGTTACAAGCTCGTGCTCCGCAAGGCGGCCCGGGTGGCGGAAGCATGGCTGTTCCGCACGGGCAGGGACAGGTGGACAAAGATTTTCTCTGCCCAATTTGTATGGAGCCGATGCGCGACGCTTTTTTAACGGCGTGCGGGCATAGTTTCTGCTACTCGTGCATTACCACGCATCTGCACCACAAGCGGAACTGCCCGTGCTGTTCGCAATTCCTCACCCTCGACCAGATATTCCCCAACTTCACGCTCAACAAGGTATTTTCTAGCCTCACGCTTAACTAGGCATCTCCCAAGCATCTCCAGTCGTAGTATTTTTCGCACCCTAGGAGCTCCTCACCCGTGTCTCTCGCGTCCCCCGTCCAGCTACCGTGACTCAGATAGTCTCTTTTCGAGACATCCCTAAACTCGCCCGTGTCCCCCGCCGTGATCCCCGCTCCGCTCCCTCCACTCCCTCCGCCTGTGCAGCTTCTAAAGAAAGCCACGGCGACGCAGATGGTCTCGACCGCGTCGCCGTCGCAGCACCTGCGGCTGGCGCTGCAGCACGGCGCGGACGTGAGCATGAGCGTGCGCGAGCTGGACGCGCTGCTTGCGCTGCTGGCGGAGAAGCGGCGCAAGGCGGAACAGGAGGAGGCGGAGATGAACATGGATATTCTGTTGGACTTCTTACAGCGATCGCGGCAGAAGAAGCAAGCGGAATTGGACGAGGTTGGTACTGCGCCAAGTTTTACCGAGTCTGTCCATAGCGGAGCAAGTGTTATCATACCCCCACTTCCCTGCCTTCCGCCATCTCTCTTCTCCCATTCTCCGGCGCTGTTCCCCGCGTAGGAGCTCCGCAGGCGCGCACAGCAGCACATGCGTGCAGTCCGCTCATCCTCCTTCCCCCTTGTCTCTCCCGCCGTCCGCGGTTCCCTCCCCATTCCAGCTCCGCGCGGACCTTCTGTTTATCCGCGAGGACATAGCGGCGGTGGAGCAGCGCAGGTCCGCGCAGAACATGCGCGAGCAGTCCGCCCATCCCCCTTCCTTTCTGCTTTTTCTCCCCCCGTTCTCCCCCTCAGCTCCGCGCGGACCTTCTGTTTATCCGCGAGGACATAGCGGCGGTGGAGCAGCGCAGGTCCGCGCAGAACATGCGCGAGCAGTCCGCCCATCCCCCTTCCTTTCTGCTTTTTCTCCCCCCGTTCTCCCCCTCAGCTCCGCGCGGACCTTCTGTTTATCCGCGAGGACATAGCGGCGGTGGAGCAGCGCCGGCGCGCGCTGCAGCAGATGCGCGAGCAGTCCGCCGCCGCCATCCACGCGCTGCTCTTCCGCGGAGGCGCGTCTTCCGCGGGCGCGGGGGGAGGCGAAACTGGGTTCGGCTCCGGAGGACTGGCGGGGCTGAAGGCGGGCGCGGGGGGAGGGCTAGCGGGGAGCAAGCGGAGAGGGGGGCCCGCGCTCGCGCACCATCTGCAGCAATCCTCGCAGAAGTTGCGGATTCAGGGGGATGGGCGAGGGATAGGAGGAGGGGGAGCGGGGATGGGGCAGGAGGAGGCGGAAGGGGAGGGGGGAGGGGAAGGTGGAGGGCTGGTCGCGTGTGGGCCGTCGGATATTGCCATGTCTGCATCAACGGTTGCCAAGAAACGACGAGTTTTCTCCCATGTAGGTCCCTATGTGGGCTTCCGTGTAGACTGGATGGATGGAACAGGTCGCTGAGATCGGGAGGCCATCCAACGGTGGAGAGTGGCCGTCGCAGATCTGCTGCTCGCTCCTCTTCTCTTGCGCATTTTCTCGGTTTGACCTTTTGATGTTTTTCTCCTGTTCGACGATTTGCGGGAGTGCCATCTACTGCACCAACGCCGCCAGGCAGCCCACTCACTCACCTCCCTTTCCTCATCCCCTCGCGCACATTCCCCCCCTCCCCCCCTCTCCCCCACACCCGGTTTCCCCGCCTCCAGTTCGACGACCTGCAGGAGTGCTTCCTGCGCCACCGCCGCCAGGCATCACTCAGCCACCTCCGTCTCATTCCCACAGCCCCGTATCTCACCTGCTCTCTTCCCTCCCCACCCCCTACTCCTCTAACCCTCGCCCCCAGTTCGACGACCTGCAGGAGTGCTACCTGCACCACCGCCGCCAGGCAGCGCACTCTGGTCCCTCTCCTCAAGCGCACGCTCACTCACACCCTCCTTCCCTCCCGCCCCCACTCCCTCTTTCTCAGTTCGACGACCTGCAGGAGTGCTACTTGCACCACCGCCGCCAGGCAGCGCACTCCGCCAAGCCCGCGGGAGGAGCATCAGCAGCAGCTGAGGCGGGTAGGCGCGGCAACGGCTTAGCAGCAGCAGCAGCGGAGGGGGGGGCGGTTGGGCAGGTGGATCTGGGGATGGGGCTGGAGGATTTCCGGCAGGTGCTGGCGGCGTTCACGCGGTTCAGCCGTGTGAAGGTGGTGGCGGAGCTGAGGCAGGGCGACCTGTTTCATTCGTCGAATATCGTTTCGAGTATTGAATTCGACCGGGATGACGAGTTCTTTGCGACCGCAGGCGTGTCGAGGCGAATCAAAGTGTTCAACTTCTCGCAGGTCAGTGGGCGGGGGTGGGTCGTTCAGCCTTCACGCGGTTCAGCCGAGTGAAGGTGGTGGCGGAGTTGCGACAGGGCGACCTGTTCCATTTGTCGAATATCATTTCCAGTATCGAGTTCGACCGGGATGACGAGTTCTTTGCCACGGCGGGCGTGTCGAGGCGAATCAAACTCTTTAACTTCTTGCAGGTGGGTGACCTTTCGTCACAAGATGGTGGTCGTTTCCCCCAGGCAAGCTGAGCTGCCTGTCGTGGAACCCCTATTTAAGGCGCACATCGCTCCATTCCCACTCCCCTCTCTCTTCTTTCCCCTCGGACAGGTGGTGGGCGAGCTAGCAGACACGCACTGCCCAGTCGCGGAGATGCCCACGCGCTCCAAGCTCAGCTGCCTCTCCTGGAACCCCTACCTCAAATCAAGGCGCACTCCATTCCACCTCCCCCACACCCCTCTTAAACCACTTCCAATCTTATCAGGTGGTGGGCGAGCTAGAGGACGTGCACTGCCCAGTCGTTGAAATGCCCACGCGCTCCAAGCTCAGCTGCCTCTCCTGGACCCTCTTACTCAAGTCAAGGCGCACATCGCCCAATTCCCACATTGCCACCCCCCCGTCTTCCCTCCGCCTCCCTCCACCCGTCCATGCTAACAGGTGGTGGGCGAGCTAGCAGACGTGCACTGTCCTGTCGTTGAAATGCCCACCAGATCCAAGCTCAGCTGCCTGTTGTGGAACCCCTACCTCAAGTCAAGGCGCACATCGCCCCATTCCCATTGCCCCACTCACCTGTTTCCCTGCTTCAGGTGGTGGGAGAGCTAGCAGACGTGCGCTGCCTGGTCGTGGAAATGCCCACTCGATCCAAGCTCAGCTGCCTCTTCTGGAACCCCTACCTCAAGGCGCACATTGCGAGCAGCGACTACGAGGGCATCGTGACCGTGTGGGACGTGGGCCACGTGTAGAATCAAGTGACGTGGGGATTGAGACGTCTCAAAAATCTACTTTCTACACGGGCGGGAGCATCAAGTGTTAACTCCAGCTCAACTGGTCTCATTGCTTTTGAGACGTCTCAAAAGTCAACTGGTCTCATTGCTTTTGAGACGTCTCAAAAGTCAACTGGTCTCATTGCTCCCCCTCTTCCTCCTCGCCCGACCCTGTTCTTCTGCCTTCCATTCAGGTGGTGGGCGAGTTAGCAGACGTTCACTGCCCAGTCGTGGAGACGCCCATTCGCTCCAAGCTCAGCTGCCTGTCGTGGAACCCTTACCTCAAGGTGCACATCTCCTTATCCCCATTGCCACTCCCCCTCTCTCGTTCCCCCCTGACAGGTGGTGGGCGAGCTAGCAGACGTGCACTGCCCGGTGGTGGAAATGCCCACTCGATCCAAGCTCAGCTGCCTCTCCTGGAACCCCTACCTCAAGGCGCACATCGCGAGCAGCGACTACGAGGGCATCGTGACTGTGTGGGACGTGGGCACGGGGCAGAGCTTGCTGGAATACGAGGAGCACGAGAAACGCGCCTGGTCGGTGGACTTTGCACGCACGGAACCGACCAGATTGGTGTCTGGGAGCGACGATGGGAAGGTGAGCGAGCGATGGTGTGCGTGTTTGTGTGGCTTTGGCTGAGTCGCCGTGTGGGAAGTGGGCATGGGGCAGAGCTTGCTGGAATACGAGGAGCACGAGAAACGCTCGTGGTCGGTGGACTTCGCACGGACGGAACCGACCAGATTGGTGTCTGGGAGCGACGATGGGAAGGTGCGTGTGTGTGGATGCATGCGTGAGTTGAGAGGCAAGCAGACGTGGGCAGAGCTTGCTGGAGTAGGAGGAGCAGGATAAGAGAGCCTGGTCGGTGGACTTAGCACGGACGGAACTGACCAGGTTGGTGTCGGGGCGTGACGATGGAAAGGTGAGCGAGTGGAGAGCGTGACACGAGTGTTGGGGCAGTGTGTGGGGCCTCTATGTGGGACGTGGGCACGGGATGACTACGAGGGCTTTGTGGCCGTGTGAGATGTGGGCACGGGGTGACTCCGCAGCCCACCTGTCCTCTTTTGACGGCTTTGTGGTCGTGTGAGATGTGGGCACAAGCAACATCTTCTTTCCCCTATCCCTGTTCCCCCGTCTTCCCTCCTGCTCCCCCTTCTTCCCTCCTGCTCCCCTCCTCTTCCCTGCCCTGCTCATCCTGTCCCACCGCTGCAGGTGAAGATCTGGTGCACGCGCCAAGAGAGCAGTGTGCTCAATATAGACATGAAGGCCAACATCTGCCCTTCCCCACGCCTGCTCTCCTCCCCCCTCCGTTTTGTCACCGCAGGTGAAGATCTGGTGCACGCGCCAAGAGAGCAGTGTGCTCAATATAGACATGAAGGCCAACATCTGCTGCGTCAAGTTCAACCCCGGCTCGGCCAACTTCATTGCGGTAAGGCTATTCACATCCCCCTTACAAGTTTCCTCGCATGCTTACTGGCCGGTCCATGTGACATCTGCTGCTGCGTCAAGTTCTATCCCGGCTTCGCCAACCTTACTGCTGTAAGCCTTTTTTTTCTCCCTCGTTACATGCTTGCTTTTTTTATGCGCCTAAAATATCGACATGTTCACCCCCCTTCTCCCCCGTCTCGTCTCCCCCTCTCTATGCCCTTGGGTGTTTCTTCTACTGCACCTATATCCGCCTGCATCTCAGGTCGGATCAGCAGACCATCATATTCACTACTACGACATCAGAGCACCAGCCCTCCCCCTCCACGTGTTCAGCGGGCATCGCAAGGCTGTGAGCTACGTGAAGTTCCTCTCGCCCTCGCAGCTCGCCTCTGCCTCCACCGACAGCACGCTCCGGCTCTGGGACGTGCACTCGCACGCTGCGGTGAGTTGCTCTCGGACTTTCTTCTTCTCTTCGTCTCTCTCTTTGGGTCCCGACACGTCAAGTTCCTCTCGCCCTCTCAGCTCCCCTCTGCCTCTACCGACAGCACTCTGAGGCTATGGGATGGCCACTCGCATGCTGAAGTGGGTTGCCCTCTCAGACACTTCCTCTTACCCCCATCTGTCTTGTGGATTATCTTTCATGCTATCTCTCTCCATGGCTTGGCAAGGCTTTCGGCACTTGTTGACGGGGCACCATTCCGCACTCCCTTCCTCCCTCCCTCCCCCTTCATTTCCCTTCCGCTTACTTTCCCTTCCCCTCCTGCGCACTCCCTCCCTCCCTCTCCCTTTTTCAGATCCGCACGCTGAGGGGCCACACCAATGAGAAGAACTTTGTGGGCCTGTCGGTCAACAGTGACTATATCGCATGCGGCTCCGAAACGAATGAAGTGTACATCTACTATAAGGTAATCATGGGAAACATATTTTGTTATGTCATGTGTCATGTCATGTCATGTTAGGTTACATCTCAGACGCGTGTATATTCCTCGTTTTTAGACTCCATGGGTCACTGTCATGAACTCAGTCTGTTGATCGGTTGCCATTCTCCAAGTGCTTTACCTCGGCTGCCGTCCTCCCGACCCTTACTTCTCAACCCTTCGTGTTCTTTTATCCTTATCCCCCTTGCAGGCCATGTCTAAGCCCATGGCAGTACACCGATTCACCAACTCTGACCCTTTTAACGGGGAAGACAGTGACGAGGATACAGCACACTTCATCTCTGCTGTGTGCTGGAAGGGTGGAGGGGGAGAGGCAGGTGGAGCAGGGGCAGGTGGGGAAGGGGGCGGCGGGCAGCAGCAAGAGGCAACGATGCTAGCAGCTAACAGTCAAGGGACCATCAAGGTGCTCTCCCTGGTGCCTTAGGAGTTCTGAGGCGCCTCAAACGGCGTACAGCAGCAGGAGGCAACAATGCCTTAACAGACAGGCAAGGGACTACCAAGGTGCTGTCTCTGGTGCCATACAAGAGGCGGGACTTTCCTGGAGTGGCTGGAGTACGTATCTAGTGCGATACTGTACTGTTGCACCGTGCATGTACCGTATGCTAGAGCTAATTTTGGAGCAAAGGGATTCCCATTCACCGTAGTGCGTTATTGCACAAATCCAATGCATGTGCTGGCTAGGAATTTTGATAAAGACTGAATCACCAAGTAGGGAGGGTAACCATAATTTTCTTACAGCTCCAGTATACATTTGTCATCTAGGTTTAGGGTTTAGGAGTGTGCCCCACGGTTTTGCCACGAAGTATCAAGTTCCTAAGGACTTTGAACCCCCTCCGTTCAAATGTATACTGGAGCTTTAAGAGAATGCTTATAACTTGAAGGGAAATCTGTTTACACATGCTGAATCAACCTCTCTACAATTTCGACGCTTGGGATGATTTCCACCGATGCTGCCGAAGCATTTTAGACTCTTCGTGCCTATTCAACAACAGCAGCTTGAGCTTCTTGACCAATTCATCCGCGTTTTTAGCCTCCTCCTTTGCCGTACTAAACTCCCGCTCTGCTTGTGCAGCTCTCCTTTCCAACCCCTCTAGCATGGCTTTGTTCTTCTCTGCCAATTGCATGGTTTCTTTCCGATAGGACACGGCCTGCCGCCAATGATCCTCCCTCAACGAAACCTTCTCAGCTGCCCGTCGCGATTTTCGAATCATTTCTGCAAGCACCCGTGCGCCTTCTTCGCTGACTGCAGTCGCGAGATCCATCGCCTGGTGCGCTTCCTCCGACCTTTGCATGTACGCGCGCTTGCGCGCAGCCTCCCGCTCCGCCGCCACTTCTTCCGCCACTTTCCGCTGCTCCACTAGCAGCTCCGCAATCTGCGCTGCTCGCTCCTTAGCTTGACGCACGTCTTTCTCCGCCTCTCTCGCCTGAAACTCCGCTTCTTCCGCCTCTCCCTCGACATTCTCCTGCTCCTGCCTCTTTTCCCGAGCCTCTTTCTTAGCCTCGAAGGCTCGAATCCGAGCCTCTTCAGCTGCGACTTTCGCAGCCTCGGAAACGGTAACAGCTTCCTTTTGCAACGCCCTTGTGACAAATTCTTCCGCTTCCGACGCGGAAATACGCTGCAGCGCAATTGCGACGGCGGCAGCGGGACCTCCTGCAATTCCCGAAGCTGTCGAATTATCCGCCAGGCTCGGTGACTCCGGAACTACGTCTGAGTTGGTCAACATAAGTGTTGTCAAATCCGCGATTGTAATCCGCGACCTGATTCTCCTCCACACGTTAACAAATTCTGCCGCTGCCTCGTCAGCCTGAGCTTCGGCTTTTCGAACTGATGCCACGTGTTTGTCAACCAAAGGTTTCAGATTGTTGTGATAGGCTATCGTGAGCCTCAAAGCCTCCGCGCGCATTTCAGCCTTCTTGGCGATCCTCTCCGCTTTCTTCGCCGTTGTCCCCGCTATGTGCAGACTCACCTTTTTCGCCGCAACCGCAACCTCAAACGCAGTTACAGCGTCGGGGCTTGGATTTTCAAACGCGCGCTTCGTCGCCGCGTCGGCAGCAGCCGCCATTTCCTCCGCGACCGCTCGCTGCTCGCGGGCTCGCGCCGCGAAGAGCTCGGCGCGCTTCTTGGCGAGTTGAATCTTCTCGTGCACCCCGTCCACCTTGCGATCCGCGTCTCGCAGGTTCCGCTCCATGGCCTCCAGGTCGCGGCGCGCCACGTGCGCGAGCTGCTTTGCCTTCACCGTCGCTGCTTTTAATTGGCGTAGCAAGGTTACGGGATCGGCATTTTCTCCTGGTAACTTGGAACTGGTGATGACGTGGTGCGGGATTGTCGTTATCGATTTTGTCGCGGCTTGAGTTGGGCCAGCTCGGTCGGCGGCAGGAGAAGACTCTGTGACCTCGCTAATAGCAGAACTCGGTATCGGTACAGGAGTAGCACCGCTCACGAGTGTTACCAGGGTTAATGTGATGGAGAGTGAGAGAATGGTAGCGAGTGTCAAGCAGACAGGCGAGGGAGGGTTGTAATGATCTCGCCTCAGCGCCATGGTTCTCGTTTCCTGTTTGAGCGTCGAGAAACCTGACAATTCTTGTTTCAGATCCGAAACGACGCACGCGAACGAGTTGGAACTTCGGTATGTCGCGTCGCAATCACAGCTCTTAGAGGCAGAAAAGGCGAGTCAAGGTAAGGAAGTGTCACTGAGTGACTCAGGAGGTCCTACTGGCGAAGCATACCCCAGGCCCAGACCGTGGTTCTGAAATCTGGTTGTTATCTAGTCTGCTTTACCCACCAACGCGTCCACAACGACGAACCACTTGGACATATTGCACGTGCACCGTACATTTCACGTCCGCTTATCCACCAAACCGTACGATGGTGGCGACGCGCCATACATGAGGGAGGTGTTGCTGTGAGGTGTGGCGGCGGGAAGAAATCACAATTTAACAGCGATGGGCTTGTTGGGGCTCTCAGATGAACGAGAGTATGGCTGGGTGGGATGGACAAGGTGGGAGTTGAACGGCCCAGATAAGCCCGGAGGAAGACAATCGACGCCAAGACTTCGAAAGCCCCACCACCCCAGCTCAACTCAGACCTGTAACGCGTACGGGCTTGATCCTCGCTGGTGGCACAGGTGGCCATATGGCAGAGTGTGGTACCAGCCAGCAATGTCGCGAATGCGAACAGTGTTACTAAAAGGGCGAACACTTCTATCTTGGTACTCCATCAACTTACAACAATTAATGTAAACTTAATATGATTCAAATAGGATAGGCTATATGTCGTGCGCTTCCTATCAAAATATCTCAAATATAACACCAGGGCATAATTTTGATTCAGTGTATCAGTTTAATGTTCATGTGCAATCTTCATATGACGTTGTACAATGTTACTCCTTGTTACGAGTGCAATTGAGTGAGCGAGCGAGGATTGCACCATCGAGACAAGAATACATTGAGCGAAGGATTGAGCGAAGAAAATATAGCAAAGCTACGGTGGTAACGGTAACGTGGGAAATTGGGGTGCGCGACGGGCCTGGTGCCGAGGTTGGGGACTGTCGAGGTGGGGGTCCGGAGCGCGGGTTACCAACCGAACCATGAGGTTGGGTCGCATCGTGAATAGTGGCGGGAATGGTGTCGAGGCGAATGTCGCGAGTGGTAACGGAATATTGTGGGGTGCTGTCAGTGGTGTACGCGCTGAGCAGGGACGCGAAGTAAGGAAAAGGGATTTTCATTACACTACCCCCCCCCCTCAAGGAGGCCTCCCTTACGAGATTGCGTGTATATCTCGGAAATTTCGGCTGCGCAGGTACTCGTTGAGGAGGGGGTGGTTTTTTATTTTGTCCAGTGGAACCCAATTGTCCTCGGTGTTGGAAACAAGTAATTTAAACGCTTCTGTCGTATCGAAGTGTCGACACGAAACGGAGCTGACTACAGCGAAGAAACACACGAGTCAACCAAAGCAACCGCTGGAGGTTACGCGAAGGTCAAAGGTCGCTGACCTTTGACTTGACAAAAAGTACAGTGCGACAGCAAGGACACATAACTGACTCGTTACTGAGCAGTTACCCGAATCGGCACTGCATCGAATCGCAACAACAAAAAAACAGTTAAAGTAGAAATTTTCATATTCCTTTGTAATCATATAAAAAGCTTGTATCTCTTTGCTATTATCAACTTATCTTGTTCTCACACACCAGTATAAGGTGGTTCAAGCAACTCTTATATTAACGCTTCCGCAATTACAACATCTCTACTTCAACACTTGATCTTAGCCTTGAAAGATCCTAGGGGCTTTTCTCAGCCCAACACTCGGTGGGCGTGCGGTCTCTCCAGCGGATTAGAAATTCGACCCTTCGGGCTCCTCGTGGGTCACGAACTCGGTGGCTCAGAATCTTCTCGGGCGTGATGACTGGCTCGGTCGGTGGTCTGTTAGAATCTGGAAGGAATGAATGAACTAGAAAGCAGGTGGGTACAAGTAGGAAACCTAAAAGTGTTGTACCCTATAAGAACTACCCCACTACAGCCTAAACAGACTATAGCATGTAAGTTTGACACACCCCCATAGGCAAAGTGAGGGAGAACAAGAGGTCACAAGAGCAGTCAAGAAAGGCAAAGCAAGCTCAGGGTGGATCACAAAGTCACCACGCAGTCTGAGCACAAGCAAATGGCCACAAGGCCAGTTCACATGCAGAGTTATATAAAGGAGAGCAAACAATATAGTGAACACAACCTAGCAAGTGTAAGCATGCAGGTATATGTATAAAGAGTACAGTACAGGCAAAGTCAAGAGGTAAGCAAGTGAAGCACAGTAGGTACAAGACCTAACACAGTACAGAAACGCTGATGATCACAAGGCTGAAGTGCCTTGGTGAAAACATCAGCAGTGTTGGCCTGAGAGGCCACGTAAGCAAGACGAAGCTGGCCACGCTGCTGCAACTCTCGAGCAAGGAAGTAGCGGAGAGCAATGTGTTTTGTTCTGTGCTCCAGTCTGTGCTCCTGACACAAGGCAAGCATGGCCTTGTTGTCGACGTACAGAACTGGAGGAGAACGAGGCTGCTCTCCCAAATCGGTCAGCAGGTAGGTGATCCAGCGTAGCTCCTGTGCAGCCATGGCCCCAACGTAGATCTCAGCCTCACAACCAGAGCTGAGAACAGAAGAAGAGCGGGTAGACCGCCAAGAGACAGAACCGGAGCCAAGACTGAAGGTGTAACCCTGTGACGACCGCTGCGTAGCCAAGTCGTCAACCCATGAGGCATCAGCGTGACCAGTGAGGACAACTCGAGCCCGTCCTCCAAGCACGAGCCCCATGCCCGATGTACTGCACAAGTAGCATCCCAGTGCACCTTTCGGTGCCTGCCGGGAGCCACGTAGCGAGCCAGAAGGCTGAGAGGGTATGCGAGGTCAGGTCGTGTGCAAGTCATCAGGTACATG